AGATGGACCCCAGGGAGGACCAGAGCCCCTGCCCTACTTTTGCCCTCAGACTGCACCATTACCCCCTGACTTCCAGGGGTCTTGGGGGGCATCAGACCACAAGGGCCAAGATGGCTCAAAGACTGTAGACAGTCCACTGCAGATGCAAAAATGAAATGAACAAAACACCCTTGCATATCAATATAACAAAATTGTGTATCTCCACTTTTGACTTTTGACTCCACGAGTGGAAGTCACTTGTACTAAAATATCTGTACATTTACTCATATTAAAAGTTAAGAAGGATTTTTCCTTCTACTGAAAAGTTACTGTTTTGCAGATGTGAAGTTTTTTTCTGACAGCGACAATATATGATTACTAAATAAAATACCCCTTAGGCCACCCTTTGAAATCATTACAATAACTAAAAGCCCCCTAATAGCAACAATGGGCAGAAATGTGACACATACTACACAGGCTGTTGAACATCAATTGAGAATTTTAACATTTTTTTGTTTGTTTACACACACACAGCAGACATAAAAAATTGGTCTAGTTTTTTTGGTAATTTTTCTTTATTGACAGAGTGTGAGGTTGAGAGGGCATTCAAAGACTTTCCAGAGGCCTCATGAGACCATGAGATCTCCCCCGTTGTTCTTGATTCCTCAGAGGCACATTTGGACAAGCCTCAACCTCCCAGGAGATTATGGGTCGACTTGGGTTCCATCACTCTTGAGTACCAACTGCCAGTGGGGCCTTACCCTCAGTGACTCCAGCTTGTCATGGAAGGCCTCATCAAACCCTAATAATACTTATTACATTTCATAATGGGGTGATTTTGAACTTATTCTAAAAACCACACAGATTAATGTGAGACAATGTGGATTGTGAATTGTGAATTCAGTGATCTTTAGTCATTAGATTATGTCGACATCAAACACTGTGGCTTTTGCCATGTCTTGGTTAGCTAGACATTTTGCTAGCATGTTCTGCTTATGTTATCTGTCCTCTGGTTGCTAAAAGAGCACGGACTGGAAAAAAATTGGAGGGTGGAGTTTAGAAAGGGGCTACCCAATCCATCCAGCACTAAAGGTTTAACAAGTTGTCCCCATATGTGTTCTCATACAAGATCACTAGGATATGAAACTAGAGATCCCAAGGAACGTGGTTAAGAACCACTGGATTACAATGAATTACCAGACCAAGTAAAGTGTAGACACTTGTTGGAAAGGGTAAGAAACTGGAGACAAACCAAACAGTTTTAGGTTGCTGAATGGTTTCTCTCTGGTTCAAAACACTGTGACCCCAACCCAGAAAAATGAGTCTGATCATCAGCCATTGCACTCCAGATCAAGGCACTTAACCCCACTTTCCTCCAGAGAGACAGTCCCTTCAATTGGCAATTGGGAGCCACTCTGGGGGAATAGATGAGCCATGTGACTAATGCTAATATGGCTAGAAGATACAGTTGCAGACAGCGAGTCTATGGCGCTAGACTTCCGGCAGCGGCAGGATCAGGTCGCTGATTGTAAATCCATATGCCAGGGTGTCCATCTTGTATGCCTAACCTTATTTCCTGCACTCTCGAGCCACTGACCTGCGTGATTACTGTAGTCTCTGAAGCCACTTAGGACTTCTTCAATCTGCCCGTGCTAAAAGCGGTGGATTTGATTTTGAACTCGTTTTATTAAGTTTGCCTAACGAGGCCGGTTAGACTGCAGAGCATCTATTCTCGGCCTTCCAAATGCTATTACAGCAGAGGGGGCTCAGGAGCCAGAGGTGGACCAAGTCGAGTTTCTCAAAGTGTTGATCTCGGAACAGCTTCCGAAAGTCATTCGTATCATTAGGACAGGCTGATTGCAAATCAGCACTCTTCATTATGAATGGTAGAACCACCACAAAGTAAGATTGCCCACCAGTTTGGAAGTCCTGAAAGTGGGAATTCCATGATTACTTTCCAAATTTCTGCAGAATTAAATGATTGATGTAAACAAAGCGGAGCGGTTCAATGTAAAAATGAATCACAGTTGTTCACAATGGTGGTGATGGGAATCAGACGTCTGAAGAGTTTAACCCCTTAAAATCCCAGGCTGTTTACATACTCAGGTTTATTATTCAGTAACTTCAGAAACTGGTTGAGCTATTCTTAAATTACGGTAATAAAACTTGGGCCCAAGCCTTTCGAGGTGTTAATGTCTCTAAAAGCTCCTCATAGAATTAAATGATTACAAAAACATTACCCGATGCCTGAGACATTGTTTAGTTTTGAGAGATTTTAGCCTAAACCTATTTTGTTAAAGCCATTCAAGGTGGAGAGGTAAATGCAGGGCACTGTGAGGCAAAAAAGTCCCCAAAGAAAACATAATTTTTCAAATTTATGACTATTTTGCCATCATCAGCATTCCATATAAAACTCTAGACACATGTAGGTTCCCTGGTAGTTTGTGTCGTAAATATACTGTCTATATTTGTGTTTTCCTGGCTCTCATCACCTGTTTACATTTCAACCACCAAATTATGTAGAACTTTTGGAAAATGTGGAGAAGGTCCAGCATAGTAGACAGTTGCTGACCTCCATTCCACCTAAATACCCAAATAAATGAAGTCTGTTGTATGTAAAAATAATATAGACCCCATATTGCTCAACTGATTTGAGTTAGGGGAACTTTTTTGATGACTTCATGTATTCAAATGGAATTTTTGAGTTGAATCAGTGTATACAATGGCATTCAGTTTAATTTGTTGCTATTAACAATTGGAGAGATGTACAAAGTAAACAAGATTTTACTGGTTCCTGGCTCCATCTATTTGCATAATGTGTTTTACTTTTTTTTACTTGCCATCTTTTTGCTGTCATTCTTTCCAGACTATCGTCCCTCAGGTGGATGCTTATATTGTATATCTTAATTAATCACCAAGCTCATTTGTTGTCAGTTTTCTATTGCTGAGTGTGGTTTTAAATTGACTGGACTCTACAGAGACCACCTTAAAATGAACTCTACTAAGATAAGTTGGATCAGCATAAGTTAAATCAACACTAGTAGGCCTAAATGAGGTTCAACAAACTTTAATGAGTTGAGTTGGAGGTTATGCTGAAAGGCGTTTATTTGTGTGGAAACTTGCACAGTTCTGTTAAGTTCAGTTAAGAATGTTTTTGAGTGTAACTAAATAATAAGCCTGCAATTTGAATCTGAGTTCAAAACGGTAAACAAAGTCATCCGGAGTGGTTTGGTATGAAATGCACCAGTATAGAGAAAATGTTCACAGTGGTGGTGATAGGAACCAGATGTCCACCTCTAAAAGCTCCCTCATAGAAAGTTACTACATGAAATAGTTACGGATTCACTGCCTGATGTCTGAGACATCATTTTACACTAATGTGGTCTTCAGGCTTATTTTTATTCCATTCATGCTCTGCTTTTAAAAAAGAACAAAACAGGTTTGTTTGACTTATAAACTGAAAATATATCCACATTAAATAAATGAATTGTGAAAAAAAGAAACTGGTTTACATAAAATGGACAAAAATAAACAAAAGTACATTTCAATTAATTAAAACTCCTTACATTAATCCAAAGAGAATTTCAGTCCAAAGAAACCCAAAAAAACTGCACTGAAATATTTCAATTTATGAAATATCCGAGGTAACAAAGTCTATGTCTGACTCTATACTGACTTTATTTGTTTGAGTGGAAATCTGGGGGAAATTTAATGAAGTTCATAAAACAATTCTTTTTTTTTCTTGGGTATGTAAATGGTAACGGGATTCTATAAAGACCTGTAAACACATTTACTTGATGTTTTACACAGAACTCAAATTTGCATCCATAACTTGAAAGTACTTTGTTATTTTCTTACATTTTAAAAGTGAATTCACCATGTTACAGTTTATAGTGTGGTGGAGGGGTGCAGGCATAATAGGCTCTAAAGAACCTATTATTTCAAATTTACCACTATTTTACCATCATCAGTATTCCATATAAAGCTCAGAAGATGTGTGTAGGTTCACTGGTGGTTTTGGATAGTAAATAAAATGTCTGTATTTGTGTTGTTGTCATGGTGACACTTGGTTCCTATCACCACCACTGTAAAGAAATCAGAGTCTCTACAATCAACCATTTCACACCAAACCATCCACTAAAAATCTGAAATACAGGCATATATGCAGACATATCATAAAGGATCAGGCATATATTTCAAAAATATATATTGTATGTGTATATATATATATATATATATATATATATATATATATATATATAGGTTAAATACACATCAGTACAGTTTCAATTAATAGTATCTGTTTGCTTTTAAATATCAAATTATTTAAATGTATCAGGGAACCATATTTTCATTCATTTAATGTTTCAATGATTTTACTGCATCACTCATAATGTGCATGTATTTAGAGTTTAGTTATGTAGTTAGTGTACTAATATATTCAACAAAGAAGATGCACATAGTAATAATAATAATAATAATAATAATAATAATAATAATAATAATGTTTATTCACATAGCACCTTTCACACATTAAAAATGCAGCTCAAAGTGCTTCACAATACAAAGTAAAAACAATGCTATGTTTAATACATGTGTGTTTTCTATCATATATTGGTAAATATAAGTCCCATATTTGAAAATAGCCAATTTGAAATAAGTTGGTATATATGTCACATGTGACTAAAATAAGTTAGGGAATATAAGGGAAATCATTTATGATATATATTTGAAACCCATATATTGCTATATGGGACTCTGTTTAGATCAACGAGAATTTTTTGTAAACAATTAGTGGAAATGTACTTTAAATTCGTGTAGTTAGCGTTGTAGGGCAAAAGATATAGTGAACTGAAAATAATGGACAACCAGTAATAACAATACACGTGGGACGGGCGACGATGTCCTCATCACTCTGTTTTGGTGGTCGCTCCCTCGCATCAGGTGGGTGGGATTGGGGGGTGGGTTGGTGGGTTTGAAGGGGGGGTCTCAGTCGTCCAATCCTGAGAGTTTCACCTCACCTCGCTGCCTCCACACCGCAGCATGCCGTCCGTGACCGCACGTCCAGTCTGACCAGCAACCCCTCGTTTTACCGATTTTTATACTTTTTTTATATTTTCAAGCTGAAGTTTGGGCTCCCCGCTTGGTCAGCAGCAATGCCCCACCAAGAGCAACCCATCGCCCGTGGACCCGTACCGGTACCGGTCATCATCCAGACCGACTCACGAGACAAATGGAGCAAGAAGATCGACTTTCTGCTGTCCGTGATCGGCTTCGCTGTGGACCTGGGCAACGTGTGGAGGTTCCCCTACATCTGCTACCAGAACGGCGGAGGTGAGAACGTCCATGATGTCCACATTTCCGTTCAGTGTTCTGGAGTTGAAAGTTTGAAAGTTGAGAGTGTAGAAACTAAATGGTTCTTCAAGCGTTCTTGAGTAAAGGCAATCGTTCTCAATAGAACCATGAACACAATGCATAGATGGTTATTTGCATGGTCAAATGGTTCTTCTCAGTGATCAAAACCCTGTTCTATATGGGCAAAATCTTTGAAGAACCCTTTTGAAAATGGTTCTATATCGCACCAAACTATTATTACGAGTCGAGGAACCTGTTTGCAGAGCCCTTTTTGATAGCTTTGCGTTTCTGGACACGTTTCAGAGCTCTCTAAAGTGGACAATAGGACTCAAAGTGTCCTAAAATAAAGTTTCTGAGCTCAAGTCTGGACAGAAGTACGCATTTTTATGGAGATCGTTGGGAAACATTCACAATTTTTCATTTAGAAAAGATTTTAGACAAAAATTTCTGCAATTTTAAAGAACAATTTAGACATGTGGTATATGCATACATGTATGTACATACGAGAAGAGGACTTCAAAGAAAACAAAAAGCATAGTTTTCGCAAATTTTGCAGCTTTAGAAGTAAAATAGTGAAGGAATAAAATAGCGCTACTGTTGCGTTGCGGTTGTGACGCGCCTCCGTCGATGGAGCTGTCCGTGGTGCTGAAAGTCTTCTTAATGCTGCTTATCGCTGCTGTCGGAGCAAAACCTCGTATCTCCATTTTTGTTGTTTTCGGTTTTTGATATCATTTGAAAATACCTAAAAAAAAAGTCTGGTTCCATTGAACTTTCATTAAAAGTAAAGTATGTTTTTTCCTTCTCCTGTAAAGTTATCACTTTGAAGATACGAGGTTTTGCCCTTCACCTACACCTGAGCATCACAGCCCAGTTTCTCGGAACAACTGACTTCAATGTTTCCAGTTTTTTGGCTTCTATTCATTAAGGGCCACATCCCCAAACAACTCCTGATATATGATGGTTTATCAGGAATATGATAATATATGGTGGTGTATGTTTGAATAGAATGGTGTATGGTAGTGTATGATGGTATAGGGTGGTGTATGATGGAATAGGATGGTGTATGGTACTGTATGAGGGTATAGGGTGGTGTATGATGGAATAGGGTGGTGTATGATAGAATAGGATGGTGTATGGTGGTGTATGATGGAATAAGATGGTGTATGGTGGTGTATACTGGAATAAGATGAAGTATGATGGTGTATGATGGAATAGGATGGTGTATGGTGGTGTATGATGGAATATAATGGTATAGGGTGGTGTATGATGGAATAGGATGGTGTATGGCATTGTATAATGGAATAAGATGGTGTATGGTGGTGTATGATGGAATAGGATGGTGTATGGTGGTGTATGATGGAATATAATGGTATAGGGTGGTGTATGATGGAATAGGATGGTGTATGTCATTGTATAATGGAATAAGATGGTGTATGGTGGTGTATGATGGAATAGGATGGTGTATGATGGAATATAATGGTATAGGGTGGTATATGATGGAACAGGATGGTGTATCACGGTGTATGATGGAATAGGATGGTATAGGGTGGTGTATGATGGAACAGGATGGTGTATGGCGGTGTATGGTGGAATATAATGGTGTAGGGTGGTGTATGATGGAATAGGAGAGTGTATGGTGGTGTATGATGGAATAGGATGGTATAGGATGGTGTATGATGGAATAGGATGGTATAGGGTGGTGTATGACGGTCTATGATGGAATATGATGGTATATGGTGGTTAATCCTGGAGCATGATTGTACATGGTGGTGTATGATGGAATATGTATATGGTGGTTAATGCTGGAATATGATTGTACATGGTGGTGTGACCAGACCACCATATGTTATATGGTGGTCTGTAATTAAATATATTATGATATGATGGAATATGATGATATGATGGGGTACGATGGTATATGATGGTATATGTTTATATATGGGAGTATACGGTGGTATTTGATGGCATAGGGTGGTATATGGTGAAATAGTGGAGATCTGTTAAAGTAGTTGGATCACTATAAATGAAAATCAACCAAAAATATTTATGTATATGTAAGTGTAAAGTGGATTAATTAAAGACACTATCTTCATAGCGGTTTGGATTTGTATTCAGAGCAGCTCTGATTTTCTCAGTATCCCATTATCATTATTGTTATTATATTACAATGGCTTGTTATTGTAATTGTTATTATATTATAATGATTCCATAGTTATTGGTCCCCTTAATGCCCTTTGACTGTTATTGTTATTATCTAGGATGGCTTGATATTATTGCTGTTGCTGTTATTATTATCATATCAGACATATGAACATATGTTATTAAACCATCTGTCAAATTTAGACATGGTGGTTTTTTACAAAGAAGGAATTCCCCCAGACTGAACGTTTGGCCAAAGCTCATTGACACTGGCAGACCTGAGCTTAGGTCAGCATCCTTACTCTGAGTTACTGAGGTCTCTCTGATGGTCATTCCTTCTGAGCTAACCCAATTCTGGTGTGTCTGCACAGGTGCGTTCCTGATCCCCTACGTCCTCATGGCTGTGTTTGGGGGTGTGCCGCTCTTCTATATGGAGCTCGCTCTGGGTCAGTTCCACCGGACCGGCGCCATCTCCATATGGAAGCACATCTGCCCCATTTTCAAAGGTAATAGCCACAAGTCATCTGTCTGTAAGACCCCTTTGATATCCTAAATTGGACAAAGAATGGTCAAGGATCTCATCCAAGGGTTTGGGGTATGATAGTATATGATGGTATATGGTGGGGTATGATAGTATATGATGGTATATGGTGAGGTATGATAGTATATGGTGCTATATGGTTCAGTATGATAGTATATGGTGGTACATGATGGTATATGGTGGGGTATGATAGTATATGATGTTATATGGTGGGGTATAATATTACATGATGTTATATGGTGCTATATGGTTGGGTATGATAGTATATGGTGGTACATGATGGGGTATGATAGTATATGATGGTATATGGTCGGGTGTAATAGTATATGATTTCATATGGTGGGTTATAATATTACATGATGTTGTATGGTCGTATATGGTTGTGTATGATAGTATATGGTGGTACATGATGGTATATGGTGGGGTATGAGTATATCATGGAATATGGTCCTATATGATGATATATATTGACCAATATTGTATATAATTCAATAATCTAAGCTAAATTATTCCTGCTTCACCAGGCATTGGTTTTGCGATCTGCATCATCGCTCTGTATGTGTCGTTCTACTACAACACCATCATCGCCTGGGCGCTCTTCTACTTCTACTCGTCCTTCAGCAGTACTCTGCCCTGGACCAGCTGTGACAACACCTGGAACACGGAGAACTGCACCAACTACTTTGGCAAAGACAATGTCACCTGGACCAACTACTCTCGCTCGCCCGCCGAGGAGTTTTATACGTAAGTGCATGTAAGTGACAAAAACAAGAAAGAGAAAGAGAGAGGGGGAGAGAGAAAGAGTGACAGAGAGAGAGAGAGAGAGAGAGAGAGAGAGAGAGAGAGATAGTCCATACATTGCCCTTTCATTTTACCAACATTGTGGGAGGGATGTTGGGATGTTAATCTCCCATTACAACAATCAATTTAATTCTGATTCTTGAAGAAATGATTCAGTACTTTATGACACATTTCACCACAATTTGATTCAATTATTCTGGTGCAAATCAGAAATATTTTTAAAATGAGCCACACAAATCTACACAAATGTAACTGTAAGAACAGCAGTGGAATATAGACCATGCCTTTCTTGGGGTTGCACACTTTACTGAATATTATTAGAATCAATTATAACATTCCAAATACTGAAAATCTATTGGTTCTTTCTGAACAGGAGGAACGTTCTTGAACTGCATGATTCGTCCGGTCTGGGGAACGTTGGGACCATTCGCTGGCAACTGATGCTCTGCCTCTTCCTCATCTTTACCATCGTTTACTTCAGCCTGTGGAAAGGGGTCAAAACATCAGGAAAGGTACAAAAAACGTTAACTGACCCAACATGCACTTACTGGCCAATTTATTAGAAACACGTACCTTGTACTCCCACTCACTGGCCACTTTATTAGAAACACCTACCTCGTATGTCCACTCACTGGCCACTTTATTAGAAACACCTACTGTGTTCTTCCACTCACTGGCCACTTTATAAGAATACAATGAATGAAAATCTCTCTCTTTCTCTCTCTGTCTCTCAGGTGGTCTGGGTGACCGCCACTCTTCCGTATGTGGTGTTGTTCATTCTGTTGATTCGGGGGGCAACTCTGCCAGGAGCGTGGAGAGGGGTGGTCTTCTACCTCCAGCCCAAATGGGAGAAACTCCAAGAGACCAGTGTGAGTCTCTCTCTTTCTCTCTCTCTTTCTCTCTCTCTCTCTCTCTCTCTCTCTTTCTTGTTTTAAAGGGCACATTGTCTCCATTTAAGATGTTTGTGTTGTTTTATGTACCAAAAACAGTCATAATTCATTTCTACATGATTATTTTCCAGCCTCTCTTTGTCCCTCAAAATTAAACAGGCTGTTTAGGATACTGTGCCTTTAGGACTGATATATGTAAAAGAGCTCTGTTCTGATTGGCTGTCCTGCATTGGGCCTTATTCAAAAAGCAGTTCAATCTGAAACACTCCTTATACCTTCACTGTGATGGCTGGGGCTAAACTGAACCAGGCTTGAACAGTTGGATATATGTAAATGTGTTCGTTTTAGTGACATCACAAAAACAATGAATTCAGAATGGGCGACTGTGGTATCTTAGTTTTCATGTATGGCTGAGGAGTGAATGGCACGTTTTTAAACTTAGATAGAAGAACGTGCAGTTTTCCATGATATGGGCCCTTTAAGTGATCCCAGCTGATATTAATGGTTATCAGCATTTTAGCTCCTTAAAATTGATGCTGATGTCACAAAATTTTCATATCAGTCATCATTCTAAAAACAGGACTTTTGGCGGCGACGTGCGCTTTATGTCGCTCGTCCTGCTTTGTGTTGTGCTGCTGCAGGAGAAGCTTGTATGAGGCGCATAAATAAAGCCAGCAGGGCTAATCAGATGCTTAATTAGTTTTGCAGTTGTTTTCCATTATGAAAGGCCCTCGTACTCTCTCTCTCTCTCTCTCTCTCTCTCTCTCTCGCTCTTTCGCTCCCTCTCTTGTTGCTCTTTAGATCTTTTCCAGCACTGGCATCGCCGTTCATCACCTCTCAGATCATAACAGCTGGTTTACATCTGAATCTGCTTCTTTTTATTCACTGTAAAATATATTTAACAATAAGGGCCCATAGCCAACATTTTTCATTTGTTTTACTTTTCCTCCTGAGGTCCACTTGTTTGTGTGTCATAATTCACATGTACACAACCATACTGTGCTATTAAGGGGCCCATATGGTAAACCAAAGTTGTTGTTTTTTTTTTTTTAGAAAAGTAGTTCAATGTAGTATGTAAACATTGTCAAAATGCACCGTTCACTCCCCAAACCGTACAGTCCAAATATGAAAACCAGGCCGGAAAAATTGTGAATTCGTTGTTTCTGTGATGTCACAAGAACCAACTCATTTACATCCATCCACCTATTCCAGCCTATCGCAGTTTAGCTCCACCCATTCCCACTGAAGTTATAAGGAGCGTTTCAGCTCTGAGCACTTTTGGAATGAGGCCAATCAGGGCAGAGCTCATTTACCATTTACCAGTCTTAAAGGCACAGTAACAAAAACAGCCTGTTTAATTTTAAAGGATAAAAATGTGTTAGAAAATGATCATATAGGAATGAATTACACTGTTTTAGCAGATAAAACTACGCAAATGTTATAAGTGAACCTCTAGTGGAAAAAATAAAATACAAGAAAAATGTAGGATATGGGCCCTTTAAGACTGATATATGTAAATGAGCTCTGTTCTCATTCAAAAAGCAGTCTGGGTTAAAACACTGCTTATAACTCCAAGGGCGGGGCTAAACAGATGTAGGCTGAATAGGCGGATATATATAAATGTTTTTGTGACATTACAAAAAAGGCTTTATAGACTGTAGAGTGAATGACATTTTTTAAATCAGTGTTTACATACAATATCGAACTCTTTTATTTAAAAAAAGTGAGGAAAATGAATTCTTCCATGATATGGGCCCTTTAAAAGGGAAGTAATATAGTCTTATTAACATGTTAAGCTTGTTAAAACTCCAATAGTAAGTATACCTTCATGTTACCTGCACAACATTGTGGAATTTCAGCCGACAGATCATTTTTATAGTGCATTCAAACTCAAAAAGCAATAAAATCACTTGGATTCATTGTGGCCTCAGTCTTCTATTGACAGCTGGAGGCCGAGCGCTTGTCTATAGCACAGAAAAGCAAATCTGATTGTCTGTCTAGACGGTAGAAATAAGAGAGTAATCTTATAATGACTCTGATAGCATCCCTATTAATAGAACATGGAGCCTTTAGCCTTAACTGGGCCTCAGTATCAGCTTGTTCTGAACTGCATCCTGTCAGCGCTGACTCTTCTGAGTCTGAGTTATAACCAGTGGTCGAATTGTAATATTTTGAAGGGGGATAAGGGGTTCAAACGATTTAAGGCCTCCAAGAATGGCCTCTCTTTGCACCCCGTCCTCAAACCGAGGCCTGGTTAGAACTGAATTGTTAGCCCATTCAGTAATTTGCAGACTATTCTAGGATTCTTGGTGAACCATTAGTTAGGTACAGATACTGGCTGTGTCTCAAATCAACTAGCCAATGGTACGGCCTTTCTGCATTTGTGCAAGGGTAGAAAACACACTCCTGACCTAACAGCATCCCTCACTGAAATATAAATTCTTTACCAAAACCCACCGAAACACACTCAACCAAAAACCGAAACCGGAAACTGAGAGAAAATGTTGTTTCATAGAAAATTTTCATTTTTATTTATACTTTTGAATGCACATAATATAATATTATAATATAATACTGATAATGCTTCCAAGGTGATAATTGCCCGGTTGGGAAACTAAACTTTATTTTCAAAAGGGTTACAAAATAATATCACATACTGAAAGTTAGTAAAACAATGACCACGTAATATTTCATGGTTTCCCAAGCTGAATTCGAGAGGGCCTCTGATGTAACAATGTAAAACACCTTGGTTTTTAATGTTATGGAACTCCTGTGTATAGGTCTGAAGCTTCTCCAGCATGGGGTGCTATTAGCAAGTCACTTTAGTGTGCGTCATTTAAAGAGAGGATACAGCCAGAAATCTCAGCAGGATCTAACCAACACACGTGTTTTCACAAGCAGAGCTTTATTACCAAAGATATTGAATTATTCATTGTTATTTATGTGACTTCCATGAAAAAATGTCATTAAACCAGTTCATGCTAGAAACATGTGAGTCAAAGAGCGTAACTGAACACAGCTGCAGGAGCTGATCTGCTGCAGCTCAAGCTGTTTGAACACATCTGTTCTCCTTTCCATGATTTGTTAAGCGTTAGATTTTGACACTTCATTGTAGACCTGTTTGCCAAAAGTTTCTGCCTTTTCTCTTTTTTCAGCCGAAAAACAAAAATGCCACTTTCAACTATTTTTGGCAATTTTTGGTGGCCAAAATTTCAGTGCATTCCCAGCCCAAACCCTTTAACTGTTGAAGATTTTATGGATGTTCTGACTGACTTTGCAGAGGAATCAATGCAAATCAAACCATGCTATAATGAAAAAACACTACATTCAAGATGACCAACCACTCCAACTTTTGTATGCTGGCAGAAGTACTTAAACATTTTTTGAATTGCATTTTAAATGTTTAATGTTTTTAAATGTTGAAATGTTTAACATGCTGTCAGATGTTAGTTAGCCAGCAGGCTGTTTGCCATAGCTTTGCTAGTCAGTTAGCAACATTGCTACCAAGGTTGAGCATATCGTTTGCTTAAACGTGACATTACTGGTTTTCTGGAAGGGTTGAATGTCCAAAAAAGTGTGTTGTCATTTATGCGTCGAAATACAGATTAAGCCATATGCAAGCTAACACTGCTGCACATTGAATTTACATTGCAAGACTAACCTTAACAAATTATCCCACATGAAACAGCACATTTCGTTAAATGTGGTAGTTTAGAGGCTTTGGCAATAGCTGGTGTAAATAAAGTTTAATCATAAACTTAATAGTCAGCTAGATTATCGCACGTTTATGGATTATTCTGCTGAACTGGTTCATAGTCAGACCTGAAAACTCATTTCAGACTTTTAACTGACTTGAACTTTTGACTAAAATCCTTCTGCTTTGAGTGACCCATTTTGGCACTAGCAAAACAATCGTGCACTAAAGTAATCGTGACGCTACCAAAACTTTACCAAATGTTTCAGTAGTGACCGTTTCGGTAGTGAAGATTTTAGCTCATTTTGAGTAGAACTCAAAAACGCTAGCTAGTACCTTACTAGCAAACACAGTCAGGGAACAGTTGTACAGACATAAAATCATCATATTTTTCATTGTCATAAAAAATCTGTGTTTCGATAGTGACGATTCTTAATGTTCCACACTGATTTTCAGACTTTGAGACACACTTACTTCAAAACAATGGGATTTAACTGCTCACCATGTGGTCATGAGGGACAGAGATGCAGTCTCATTTCATCTAAAATGCAGGGGCATGGCTAAAAAGGCTACGCCTACAGACTAAAACTGTGTTTCAGTAGTGACATGAAAAAATGAGACAGCAAGTTTATTTAAAAATTAAACTAATGATGGATCTAAATCAACTTAATTAAAAAATCTTTTAAAAACATAATTGAAAAAATGTAAGTATTATTTTCACATGTGTAAATTTAGGGGTCATGGTTTGGGACAGAAACACAGAAACAGACGAACTGGCCCTTAAACCGTTTTACCTATAACGACTGCTCTGGTCACTCTGTAATGGGAGTAAACTGCTTTACCCATCATGCTGTGCAGGTGTGGGTGGACGCTGCTGCTCAGATTTTCTTCTCTCTGGGCCCTGGCTTTGGCGTGCTGCTCGCCCTGTCCAGCTACAACCCCTTCACCAACAACTGCTACAGGTACAGCTTCCCTTCATCCCCGCTGTTCACTTCATTAAAACAAACATTATAAAACACGTCACCCACAGCGCTGACCCTCAGGGTGACCGGCCTTTGATGAGGTCCATGTTTGATCTATTCTTGAATAAACTTACAAGTAAAGCACTGATTGAGAGTGTGTTCAAGGCCCCTGTAAACCCTTAACAAGCTGACTAATCACTGACCTGAACAAGGCCTCATAATAGGGTTGTAAAAATGCATTGATGCATCCTGATGTATTGATCTGAAGATGAAAAATGTATATTTAAAATTATTCTAGGCTGGTTGGCTAACTAGGCTATCAGCATTTTTCTAGGCTAGTATTGTTCCACTGTTCTGGCTCTGCCACCTTTTCGCTAGTCAACCTTGTCTTGTCTTCCTAGCTCCACCCCTTTGTTATTGCTGTCGCCTGTGTTTAGTTTGTATCCCCATCATTTCAGGTTTTTCAAGTCTTCTCTCTGTTGTACAGAGTTAATGATCTATCGTTTTCATGTTTTTGTTTGTCTGTGTTCTCTCACTACAATCCCCAGCATGCATTGTGCAAATACATCATACCATTGGGAATCCCTGCTAACTTGCCTCTGAGCTATAGGCTAATAAATATAGCCATATTTAGTGTTAGTGTGACTGTAACATTCAGTCATCCAAGAATTTAATAAAGAAAACAACAGTTCTGTCTTTATTCAGCACAGAATGAACACACTAGTTTTAGAGTTTCAGAGAAAAGGAGAGAAACTGAGGTAGGGTATCTACGTAGCCAGCTAACTTGCTAACTTAACCTTAGCTTGTTGCCCTCCTCATCTGGCGAGTCATTTCTGTAGTTTAAGAAATCCATTCACTCCACTGTAATGATGATTTGAAGACAGTAAGATAAGATATTCTGTTTCCTAGCAAACATTAACATTAGCTATGTGGCTAACATAGCTGGCTGTCCTGATGCAGTTGTAGTTTTCATGTCATCAAAAAGGTGTTTTCCTAGTCTTTAAATGGGAAAAATCCCAGATAGCAGAGAGTTTTGGGCTGATTCTGGCTTTCCTATGTGGCTGTTTGTTGACTACCAGGCAGACGTTAGGCATGCAGGCCAGAACAGGGCCAGATGTCCAACAGCATTATACAGTTTTGATTTGTGTCTATATTTGTGGGCAGATTCTGGCATGAATGTTGTGAACTAACAATGTAGTTGGGCCAGATTTGGGCCACATCCATTAGTTCTACTCACTTTACAGGGTGTGGGTCAGATTTGGGCCAGACAAATTATGCTAACTGGGATCTCACTCTAGACACTACTGTGGAGTATGTGTTGCTTGTTAATGCCATTCCTGCTCAGTTTTGTCTCTCTGTTCGTTTGTATTTGGCCCCTCTTTAAACCTGTCAAATGTTAGTCTGAAACAGACAGAGGCTAGTGCTTAGCGGGAGTTAGCATTCAGCTAACTGCATTTATCTCTCAATGGTTTCCTTTTCCCGCTCAAACACATCCAAAGAGAACAGTAATGATAATGAAAGATGGAGAGCGCTGAGCCAGGGAGGGAAATCGAATTGTGGCCTGCTGTGAGGCTGAGGAGCAGCACATGTTTAATGGGGCCCGTCTGGGTTGGTGACACGTGAGGAGTAGGATGGCGGCACTTGGCTTTCGGCGCCTTGAATGAATTAGATGAGAAGTGAATGAATGACGTGGCTGATGCTAGCAAGTGGGCTGCTACTGAGTGCACTCCCACCGCCAGATTACCTCAACAAAGACGCTAACCGTTAGCACAGTACTAACCTCTTACTTCAACTAGACTCAGTAAACAACAATAATTACAATGAAAGATTAGAATCTGCACTTTCCGCATCATTTCTCCACTTGTTTGAGCTTTCAGTTAGAAATAATTAATGTTTCTTATAAAACTATAAGAATCGAAGGGGATTTCGGGCTTAAAACTATAATTACCATAGGCTAATAAATGTAGACATGAATGTAGCTTCCTAGCTGTAATGCTATCTATCTGCATTTGCCAGCTAGCTGAAAAAAAGCAGCTCCACCATCAAATACCTGCACCAAAACCCCGTCCCACCTTCAAGATACATCATCAGAAGGGTTTTTTTTTCCAGTTTTTAAACTAGAAAATCTCACTAGAGACCTCTGCAGCACTACTACAGAAGGCGAGCAGGCATGTTCAACAGATGCACTGATGGTTAGATTTTTCATTTGGGCCGATGTGCCCCTTTAAATGTTTTCATTCCATTTATTGTTCACATTGTTCGGCTTACTTTGCAATATATTTACAAAAATAATTATAAGTTAGTGCCGGGATATAATTAAAGTAGATGTTCTGTGTTCCAGAGACGCCATCGTGACCAGTTTGGTGAACTGCCTGACCAGCTTTGTGTCAGGGTTCGTGATTTTCACTGTGCTGGGCTACATGGCTGAGCAGAGACATGTTAGCGTAGAGGATGTGGCCAAAAACAAAGGTAAGAACACATGATCCACTCTTTTATTTATGAAAAAATGGAACGAAAATCAGTCCTTTGAAACATAAGAGATAAAACAAGCCGTTAAATTCCTTTTATGACCGCCAGGATCTGAAATCTCCATCTCTGTTACTAAACTGGATCTTTTTACTGACTGTAGGCCCAAGTCTTCTGTTCATCACCTACCCAGAAGCCATTGCAAACATGATGGGCTCTACATTCTTCGCCATCATCTTCTTTGTGATGATGATTACGCTGGGGCTGGACAGCACGGTGCGTCCACACATACAACATGAAAGTCCAGCTTGGTGTTCAAAAGTCAGAGAGCACCCTTGACCCCTCTTTTCATAGCAAATTACAAAAGTCTCAACAACAAAATATAATACCAGATGTTTCAGTGTTTAGTGAGTCACTCTTTACCTTTATTACAGTTTCCATTCTTGTCAGGAGACTCACTTTCAGTTTCTCAAAGAATCCTGCAGACACACCTGCAAAGTTCAGTCTTAGAAGTTGGTTGAACTTTCTGCTTCTCACTGTCGAAGTAATCCAAATGCACTCAGGGCTGTTGAGGTGTGGACTCTAGGTCAGTCTGGGGTGGTCAGACTTGTCTTCTCACAGTGGAAGGATGGACAGAAACACCTGTGGATGTTTTCAGATCTGAAGCAGCTTGATTTTCTCCTCTCTCTCAAAGATGAAAGCTTTAAGTGCTGTTTATCTGATGGAGACAGATCTGGTGTCTACCAGGTCTTCCAGGTGGTTGTTAGGAGTCTCATTATCTCTGTAGCTGTTATTAATTTTTTGGAAACCAGTTTTGGAAACTCCTGTTTTCCACTTATTTTTATTTGACTTTTTCCTTTCTTATGCAAATGGATTATTATCCCCACTGAAATATCACTTGAAAAAATTAATAATTTATACTTAATGGCTGTTCTGACTGAACTTTTAAGATGCACCAAATCTCTGTTTGGTTACTCAAGTTTGCTGTTACATGTGTGCGTTCCAGTTTGGCGGTCTGGAGGCTATAATCACCGCAGTGATGGACGAGTACCCAGACCTCCTGTCTCACAGAAGAGAACTGTTTGTGCTGGGATTGGTGGTGGTGTGCTTTTTGGGCTCTCTCAGCACCCTTACTAAAGTGAGTTCCTCATGCACTCTCAGCCTAATTTGCTAAAGCAGCTCACATGTACTGAAATGACACAGGAAATGCATGTGCAAGAACCAAGTAGTTGCACCCATTGGCCATTTTATTGGAAACACCTTATAGGCCCACTATACAGGTGTGCAAGTCCTGGACTGTAGTCTATCAGCTGCTACCTAGTCCATTCATCTTTGATCAGTTTCTGACCAAAGGACCGCTGTTATCCAGATATCATTTGGATGGTGATCCAATCTCAACACAGCGGAGCAGCTCTGTGGTCAGAAACTGACCACTGATGTAGATCTAGAGGATGAATAACACAAACTGGGCATCAACAGATGAGCTACAGTCTAAATTCCTGAAGGAAGAAGCTGTGGAGACCCAAAAAAGTGATGGTTGTGATGGTTCCTAAACAAGCATTCAAGCAATTGTTGGTTCCATGACTATTTTTGTGGTCACAGGGAGGTGCATATGTTGTAAAATTGCTCGAGGAGTTTGGAGTCGGTTCCTCCATAATCGCTGTTGTCTTCCTGGAGGCCACTGCCGTCTCCTGGTTCTATGGTAAGGAAAGAAAAGAAATATTCGTTATGAACAGAAAACAACAGTGTGGCTAATACAGTTCAGTTTAACAGTAGAGTTCACTGGGCACTGGGTATCATTCTGATTTACTCCAGCTAAAAACTCCACAAAATGTAAAGGTTCTACACCAATTATAGGCTAAGAACCATTTAAGGGGCACTCGGGTCAAAATAAAAAATCCAAGCATTGCTACAGCTGTTATAATCATGCCTACTAGATCTCCTGCAGTGGTGCCAAATTAGTCCTGAGAAGAAGATTTTCCAGTTTTAAGTCTAGAAAAAACTCTTCTGATGATGTATCTTGGAGGTGGGAGGAGCTATAAGTGTTTTGGGGGGAGGGTTGAGGGTGGGTTGTTTGAAATGTTGAACATGGATGGATAAAAGTACAAAACCCCGAATTCTGTCAAATTGTTGAGGCCCCTTTAGGAAGCAGCTTTAAGGATGTGGACTATATCATAGATCAATTAATGTTCCTGTGTTTTAGCTCTCAATTCATCCTATTTATTTCCTCTCAGGCATCAACAGATTCAGCAACGACATCAAAGCCATGCTGGGCTACACTCCTGGACTGTTCTGGAAGGTGTGCTGGGTGGCAATCAGCCCGGCATTTCTAGCTGTGAGTAAAAATTTGCAACGTACCGGGTTTAAAACAACTCAATTTGGTTTATATCCATATTCATATCCATAACCTGGGTCACTATATAACAGAGCACACGCTGAATCGTTAGAGTTACTCTAATATATGGTTACTTTGACCCAGAAGTGGGTTATTTTTAACTGTTTTGTCTGACAGTTTTTCTTTGTTAACTTGTCATTTTCAGTTTTTAATGATTTTTTTCTTAATAAAATAAATGTAAAATCATCAATTTTGCTCAAAATGTACAAATTAAATCAACTTTTTTTCATATTTAAGCTTCTTTGCAAGAAGAGTGGTGATCTAAGTCTAGTCTAACCAGGTATGGTTGGTTAGCTTGGTTAGCTAATGTAACTAAAGTTGGTAGGCTAACGTTACCTTACTACTACAATTATTACACAGATAACAATAAGGTCTATCTAAAAATGACCTAATATTAACCCTACATATCAAAAAATATCACATAATGGGCTACAGCTACCAGTGACCCTCAAGTAAGACTGTAAAAACAAACATAATAGTGAGTCAGCGTTAGCTAATCCTACCAGTCCCACATCACAAACAGAAAGAATACAGCTTATAATGTAGATTTTTCTTGAAATAGCACACCTATTCTTATAAGTTTCACTCAGCAGTAAGTAGTAAACGTCTATATTTAATGGACGTTTAGCAGTTCCTCTCAGCCTGCTGCCTAAAGAGAAGCAGTTTAACCGACTCAGCTGTTAGCCTGGCTCTTCACAGTGAAACTTTCAAGCAACTTTAGTGAAACCTACATCAAACTAAATTGCATTATGTTAAGCGAGTCACTTGAAACAGATGTAAGCGTCTCAATTTCAGGGAACAAGTATCATGAAAGTGGTTGGTAGCGCGTCATGTGATGACATCAGATGACATACTGTCAAATTTAGCATGTAGCATTTAGAATTAGGATTTCACCAGAACAACACACAAGAAAATGAAACAGAAGAGACCCCCTCTGATTGACTTTACGCAAGGTTTTCTGAGCCATCACAACAAACCTGACTTTCCATTTCTGTAACCGGCTGAGGTAACTAGCCTGTTAATGCTAACAGCTGCTTGTGCCAGCGTTTATTCTTCTTTAACCAGCTGTTATCGTGATCTACATAGCTAGATTCATTTTCTCCTCACTTTACGCCCCCTAATTTAACAAAAAGTTCAAAAAATAAAATGTGGCAAATATGTAAATTACACTTCGCAAGTTGCCTGAGAGCTTCACTGTGTAAAGTTAGCTTTATGATTTGAAAATTAACCCATTGGCTGGGTTATCTTTGTGTCGTTAACCCAAACTAGGCTACTCAGAAAACTTCCTAAAAACTAAGTAAACCTACCAAAAAACACTCATAAACTGCCCAGCACAGTGAAAATAACCCCACCCAATAAAATCACCCAACAGGCTCAACCCAGCTTTTGGGTATTCCCTAGAAATTTTAGAGTGCAGGCTGGGTGTTTTGATGTGAAATGTGCATACCTGTATTTTTAACCTCACTACTGTCGAGCCATTGACAAATATTCATCTGTTGGAGGAGTATGAATCTCCCAGGGTTAAGAAGTTCCACAGATAAACAAGGTAGTAAAATCTCCAGGCCACGACTTCTCGTTTAGAAGCGCACAAGTGTCCACAGTTTCCTCTTCCTGCCCCTCATGACACAGTAATCACATTTTTGACCCTAAACTTTGTTTGAAGATACCGCGCCACAAATGTCAACCTCACCTCCGTAACTCAATATTCTCTTCTCCACTCTGAACGCGCAAAACTTTAATCTCTGGACGAGCGATAGCTGACATTTCCCCCTGTCGTATTCTCCTTACTGCTGTTTCTTCTTCCTTCAACATGATAAATTGCCACCTTTTTCATCTCCCAGGGTGTTTGGAACTCATATGAAGGTTGAGCTGGCGAGTTGAGGACATTTGTCACTGTCCTGCTACTGAGTTCATTTAGAGACTAAGAAATGGAACCAGTCCATAATTTCCTCAGTATGGAGGAGATCCTGCTTGCTTTATATTCAGCCAGGTGGAGGTGACCCTTGTATTGAGTCTGCACTCCTGAGTTTTTCCTTTGCTTTCAATATGAAAACATGACAAAAAAGTAAAGTTTTTTTCCTAAAAACATACACAGCAATAATTTTTTATCAAATTTAGATCATAAGGAAATATCCCCTTTTCTACTTATAGACACTCGAAACTCAACGCGCTGTGTAATGTCTCTCAGTGGGGAAACCTCTGGGCCTAGTAGACTTTCAGCCTTAAGATTTCTGTGGAATAAATAAATATATGTCTGTAATTTTTAGTAATTTTAAAAAATATAATCGTTATGCTTGTTCTGTTTAAACTCTAAATACTGTAGTTATACTCATTTCATTGTTAAGTTTGGGAAACTCTGGCCAGCAGAAAATTATCCAATCAGGACTGTTTTTTCCATGCTATGTAGGTAGAACCATCCAAGAGAGCTCTTCCATTGGATAGGCCTTCAGGAGCTGAACTGGAAGGCCTTACACATTAGATTAACCACCATCATAATTAGGAAATGACAGAAGAATCAACCAATCCCAGTTTGATTTAGGCTTTCTGGAAGTTCTAGATACGTCACTGAATCTGAATACGATCCATAGTCTAACCAGGTTTCGGTTAGTTGTTAGGAATGTTCACCACTGATTATTTCTCACACTGAAGTGTGAGAAATAAGCTAAATGTAAGAAAAGGTTTTTCATGGTGGGGCCTAGTCGGGTTAACTGAAGACAAAAAGAATGTTCCAGAGTTGTCTGACCGTTTCTCCTGTTTCTCGTCCAGTACATCATCATCAGCTCGCTGCTGAACCCTTCGCCCCTCACACTGTTTGACTACCGGTTTCCTGACTGGAGCATCACTGTGGGTTACATCATCGGCATCTCCTCCTTCATGTGGATTCCCATATACATGGTGTACAAACTGGTGTGGACCCCCGGCTCACTCAAACAGGTCAGCCACGTCACAGTGGATGCTCCAAAGAACAGGCCTCTCTTAACACTCACCCAAAACACACTCGTCTGACAGCACACACTGTCAAGGAATGGATCATGTTTTTTTGCATTGTGGTATCGTCTCAAATCAAACGTCAGAGACCACCCTTCATTTAATTTCCAGTCAGAAGTACAAATTATAAATTTTTCAGTGTCAGGATAAAAGCAGAAAACATATCCGTGACAGAAAAATTACCTTTTTTACAGCTTCCTTTATTTTCAGAAGACTCACTTTCACTTTCTCGAGGAAGTCTGCAGACACACCTCCAAAGTTCAGTCTTAGTTGGTTGCACTTTCTGACTCTCAGCATCCAAATAATCACAATTACAAATTTAGACTCAGTCCATGAAACCTCCACATCTCAGATGTCAAGATTCGGTATTCCAGTGCAAATGTTGTTCTTTTCTTGTTTATTTCCTTTTTTCAGTAAGAGCAATTTATGTTTTTTTTAAGTGACCCTTGTTAGTCCCACAATGGGGAAATTTTCACCTCCGCATTTAACCCATCCGTGCAGTGAAACACCACATACACACTAGTGAACACACACTAGGGAGCAGTGAGCACACTTGCCTGGAGTGGGCAGCCCTATCCGCAGCACCCGGGGAGCAGTTGGGGGTTAGGCGCCTTGCCCAGGGGCACCACAGTCATGTACTGTAGGCTCAGGGGATCAAACCAGCGACCTTCTGGCCGTTTTGCTTCATCAGTGAATTCGTTTGTGAATGTTCCCTCACTACAACACCCAGCATTCCCCAAATACGGCATACAACCTTTGGGAATCCATACAGTACTTAACCAGTCCTAGCAGTAGTGTATCGGTTATTTTGGTTATTGAACAACGCGCATAATTTCGGAAACTGAGGTTATAATAACATTATATTTGGAATAATCTAATCTCAGTTTCAAATCTCAGTGCCATTTGTTGTTCATGTGTTGTTTTTCCTGCCTTCCAATTTTCAGCGTCTGGCTGTTTGCCTGCGGCCCGAGAGGACGCTGCCGGACATTCACACGGACACTCTGGGACTGACTCCTGTACCTTAGGCCAGCCCAAAGACACACTGGAACTGAACAGGATCAACACACGAAAGAGGACACATAGAGTCCTCCGATTAAAGAAGCAATAAGTAGCATCTTTTGTCCGACTTAACAATTGCAATATTTGCCAAGGTGTACAGTCAGGAAACAGGAACCGGGGGGGGGGGGACTTTACTTTCAAATTTGGGCCAAACAACGAAAGAAGGATTTCACATTACAGTGTCATTCAGCAGATTTTATTTTTCTAACAAAGATCAAGTTCGTACAACAGGAGGAATCTCTGCCAACATACTAAATTCTGTGCTCTTTAGCGCTGGGCTACATTCATTTAGGTTCAATTTTCATTGCATTGGAAAATGCTACTTATTGCTCCTTCAGCTTCAACATCACTTGACGATTTGGGCAGACAAATTGTCGCTGCGGTCCATGCAAATGTTCAACCAAATCGGTGTTGGGTAATATTTTTGAAACTAGTACGTGGAATAATAAAGTTAGCTATAAAACAATTGGGCCAAAAAGCTTTGGAAACTGCTAAATGGTTGATGTCTCTTATTATTTGTTTACTATTGAAGAGTTTAGTCATTTTTTTCATAATTGAGTTCGGTCAGTGTAACATCAAGAATGGAAAGCTATTGAGAATCATGCACATGAGAATACCTCGCGAGAATCTCGGCTAAAGAGAAGAGAAGCCATGCGCTTCTCAGAAGGTTCTGGAGAATTTCCGGTGTGTTCTGCCTTAACTCTGCCTGAATATTGTTAGCTATTCTATGTCAAAACATCTTTGTAATCATCTGTATTGGTAGTGTGCCTCTGGGGAACTTACACTTAAGAAGACTGTTTTAAAAAAGAATTCTTCACTCCCTGACGAGACTTGAGCGTGACACCTATAGCCGAGTGTACTTCTTCCTTTTGTTCTGTTTTTTGGGAAAAACAACAGCTGAGGATGTTTCCAAATTCGCTATGAATGTTCAATTCTGATGAGAAACGCGTTCTTCGTATAATATGTACGGTATCGTAAAGTTGTGACAGAGAGTCTTGCTTGTATAAATGTCTGAAGTAACAATAAAGATAAACTACTTAAGCTAATGTTGTGAAAAATGCTATTTTTTCCCCAGAATCATAAACTGGTCACCAAATATGTGAATACAGTGCATTATTTTCAAACCATCGCTCAACAAGTGTCAAACCACCTAAATAACAATTGGTGAAATATTAGCAGTGCTGATAACTAGTAGATAGGAGCTGGTTAGCATTAGCTTAGCCAGCATAACAGCTCTGCTCACCACAGAATGTGTTCAATTCTGGCTAACTAAAGTGCAGACACAAGTTTAGATGACTCAGATTTGAGGGAGTGAAGTCGAGAAAACTGGTGCTGAAGGGACAGAAAGGTGAAATTATGCCTGTTTTGTGGTGTTGGAATGGCTAACTTAGCAAGAGCATCTCAACGCAGTCACAATGTGACACACCCCAGTTAGCAAAATTTGTCTGGCCTACTGGTGGGCCACATCCTTGCTTTGTTCTGGCTGAGTCTTCGGCCCAGATCTGGCCCACACACTGTATAATGAGTACAACTAAAGAATATGGCCCAAATTTGGCTCCAATCTGGCCCAACTACATTGTTGGTCCACAACGTTCACACCAGAATTGTCCCATGAATGTAGACACAAGGCGAAACCGTATGAAGCTGTCCAGGATCTGGCCCTATTCAGGCCTAGCATTTACCTGGTAGTCAACCAACACTCGTATAGGAAAGCCAGAATTGGGCCAAAACTGCCTGCTATCTGGGACAGAGAGACAACAATGTCCCAGTTAATCTGATAACAAAGAAAAATATTTTATTTGATTATATTAATTACAAATATCTACATCACTTGCCACTAGCGGGCTTAGCATAGCGAGCAGGCTAGACACAAAACAGTGCCACACAACACAATAGAGGTTTGATTCTGACTGATTCTGAGGTTTGATTCATTTGTTACAACAATGATAACAAATAATGTCTGAGAGAGTAAAAGTGGCCTGACTGGTGTTGGAGTGTCAGAAAGCTTAAAGTGAACCTGTTCTGCAATGTTTGGGACCGTAGCGTTTTGGCTAAGCTAACAGTAGCTTAGTTAGCAGACCAAATGTGCCACACAGCACAGCACGGGCTTGGTTTGAGCTAACAGATGCTAAAAAGACCCCTGTTTAGAGGAAATCTGAGACCACAGAGTCGAGTGGCTGGCGTTGGAGTAAAAACTACATTCAAATGTGTTCTGTGGTGAGTGTAGCTCTTAGACATCTATCATGCTTAGTTTCTCTTAGCACTGTCTTTTTGACCTTGACTATGAGTTTATTAGCATTCTTGACCCAAATTTTGTATACATCATAACAATTAGCTTGCTAGTTTGGCTGTAGTTGGAGCTACATTGGCTAACGTTTTGCTAAAGTCTAAACATTAGAACTTCTGTGCCAAGCTTTACCAGATAAAGTAATTCATTGAAATTTCACTCTCTGACTTTTTTAGCACTATTATTTATTTACAGTAGTGTAAAATGTAATTTCTGCCTGTTTTGGAGGGCCATCAGTTGAACTGTGCACATTCTCTTTAATATTGTTGTCTGATTTACAAAAGCAGAGCTAGATTTTATATCTTCATAGGTTAGGAAGCAAGTGTTCATTTATAAAAGTGTTTTTATTGTGACAGAAAAAGTTGTGCTGTCTGTTTTATTCTCTCTTTGTAGAGAATGGATTGTTTCACCCCTCATTGCTCACTAGCAGCTCAACACACAGTCACAACACAGATACAACTGTGTCTTCGTTAATCTGATCTATCTATCTAACAATTTGTGAATTTTAAGCAGTGCTGGTAACTAGGAGAGAGAAGCTGGTTACCATTAGCTTAGCTAGCATAACAGCTCTGCTCACCACAGAATGTGTTAAATTCTAACACATTCTGTGACACAAGTTTAGATGATTCAGATTTAAGGGAGTGAAGTCGAGAAACTGGTGTTGAAGGGACAGAAAGGTGAAATGAAACCTGTTCTGTGGTGTTTGGATCAGCTAACATAACGTTAGCAGCTCAACACAGAGCCACAACATTTCACACACAGAGAACAGTGTCCCAGTTAATCTGATAACAGAGAAAAATATTTTATTTGATTATATTAATTAAAAAATATCCAAGTAAATTGGCACTACTGGGCTTGCAGAAAGTTGTTCCAGCCATTTAAACACTTTTATAAATTGCTGTACTTTTTGTAATACCACTTGTTAGCTTAGCTACAAAGCTTCCTGTTTGTAGTTCATCAGTAATGGCTTTTGTAGAGTTCCTCCGTTTTTAAAATCTGGCTTGAAACAAATGCTGTGCTCTAGATAGCTTCGCTACCCCCTCAAAGCACCCCCTATAAGACATTTCTGCTACTGGTTCCACTTTTCAGTAGAGGCCTAGGTTTTGCTCGCTAGGCGCTTCAATGCTGTCCTTTAATCACAATGTTGATTTGCATCGGGCTGAGAAGCGCATTGTGTCAAGCGCTTAAATGAGATGTTTTATTAAAGACTGCGGCCATCGCCAGGCCCCCTGTTGCACCAGCCTCAGGTATGGGGGTCAGGGAATATGAAAGACACCACGCTAGTCCATATTCAGCCACTTCTACAGGAACAACAGAATGGATCAAAGGCTTCGGGGTGGGGGGGTTGTTGCGTTGGTGGATTTCAGGTTCAGAGATAGAGGAGGGGGGGGCGCACAAAAGAGAGACAAGCTCAATACATTTTCTGTTAATTACCACCACAATGAGCAGAGCGGTGGTCCACACGGTGTGGGGAGCGAATCAGGCTGGATGGAGAAGGAAGGACGATACAGGGGCTAACAGGGGGGACAGACAGCCTGGGAAGGGAAATAAAGAAGTGTTAACAAGGTCAAGGAACTGAAACTTCTTAGTAGTGTTTGAATGTTGGATGTGAAATACAACAGGTGAGGAAAGTGTGAGGTGAATGAAAAATGACCTATTCTACTACAGTCATAGCAGAAAAGCAGGTTAGTGGACACTTTGGGAGTGGAGACCACCTCAGTACTACATCACTGACTTTCTGGAGAGAAGGTGGCAGTTTAAAGGGCCCATTTCATGGAAAACTGAACTGCTTTTTTGAAATAAGAGTTTGATGTAGTGTAAAATTATTATTGGAGGTTCAGAAAAAAACATCCAAATATGGAAACCAAGCAGCAAAAACAGACGTTTTTGAATTGATTGTTTTTATGATGTCATATTATAATGATTTATGATGTCATAAGTTCTATGGACTGTTTTTTTGGACTCCTTTTTGGATATAATATGAAGGGCAGTCAATCAGAACAGCGGTCACATGCATATATCAGTACAGCACATTAACAGCATGTTTAATTCTGATAGATAAAGAAGTGTAGAAAATGGTCAAAATGAATTATGACTATTTTTGGCACCCAAAACTACACAAATGTCATAAAAGGACCTTCGAGAAATCAAGAAAATGAATATGGGCCTTTAAAATAGATTTCACTGAAATCTATGTAAAGTTAAGCACTGGTTATCAATACCAAAGCCAAAAGGTGTCCCTGGACCCAGTGTTGCCTAGTCCCACTGTAATCACAGGAAAATAGTCAACAAAGCTTTAGGATATCACTTTTATTGTGGGTCTAAAACTATACGACACAAACGTCATGGCCACACAAATTCACTACGTTTCCCACAGTGCACCTTTCCTTTCAGTTTCCTGAAAAAAAGACAACATATTCTAGTACACATTCCAACCTGGTCTGGTGCTGGTTTAGCTGGTCAAACAGCATGGTCATGGTCAGCTATGTTGGTTGATGGACATACAGAGGTATTTAACAGCACTTAACGTATCTATGTTTAACAGCAACGGCACAGCCAGAGTAATGCTAATGCTAATGCTAGGAGCTAACCACTTTTAGCCTACCAAAAACAGAAATTACTCCACTGAACCAAAGGCATTAGTTATGTTAGCAATCTAGTCAAATTAAATATTTATTTATTTAGTTAATAAATTATATTGTATTTAATTTTCAAATGGGAGGGATGTCGTTGTAGTTCACAACGTCTCGTTTTGCAAGCGTTAATGCAACCATGCTACCATGAACTGACGATGCAAAAACAATCACGTGATTGGCCTGTAGGTTTTTGTCTCAAATTTCATATTCATGAAATAGGAGACTAAGATACGTTCTCAATGCAGACTGTCTTAGTATACGTGTTAGTACTTTAGCACGAAAGAGAGCTTTAAATTGTGCTGCTAGGTAACATTAGTAAAAATTTGCTTCCATGCTAGTGATACACTTCTTTATTCATTTGTAACACAAAAAAAACAATTTTATAAGTGATAATAATGAGAAAGTTTTCCATAATTATGACTCAATATCTCACAATTATGACTTATCTCATAATAATGAAATTCAAGCTTATAATTACGATGTAATATCTCACAATAGTGACTTAGCATCTCATAATTATGACTTACAATCTCACAATTGTGATTTACTATCTCAAAATTATGGCTTAGCATCTCATAATTATGACTATCGAATAATAATGAGGTTTGAGCTTATAATTATGGTTTAATATCTCATAATAATGAGATTCAATCTCATATTATGACTTAATATCTCATAATTATTACTTACAATTGCATAATTGTGACTTACTATCTCGTAATAATGAGATTCGTGAGTCTTATAATCATGACCTAATATCTCAGAATTATCTCATGATAATGACTGTCATAATTATGACTTGATATCTCGTAATGTTGACATAAAATCTCATTATTATGAATTGCTATGTATAAAAATGAGTTTCTCTCTCATAATTACGACATACTTTCCCATAATTATGAGATACCAAGTCATAATGATGAGGCGCTAAGTCGTAAATATGAGAAAGTAAGTCTAAATTATGAGATCATTATTACGGTAAACTGTATCATTATATGACTTACTAAATATATTTTTCTCCAGTGGCGAA